CTGTTCTCCCATGATTGATCTCTCCAAGGAGTGTATCTACCTAGTGTAAATGTTCAGCTTTTATGGCTATCTTTTATTTGGCTGGAAGCCACAGGAGTGAGTTCAGTCCAGATCTGAAGGGCAACTAGTGGCCATAGTCTCAGGGGTTCCACCAGCTCTATCAGACCAGCAAACCTGGTCTTTTATCATGATTTTAAGTTTTGTTCCACATTATTCTCCCACTCTATACAGGATCTCCTGCACTAATCAACCTCCGAGTGGTTGACAGTGGTAGCCAGGCACCATCTAAGTTCTTCTGGTCTCATCGTCATATAGGCTGACTATCTCATGGTCTACCAGGCCCTTGGACTAGTTGTTTCCATACGTCTTTGGTTTTCTTCGTTCTTCCTTGCTCTGGATGAGGAGAGAGACCCATCATTGCATCTAGGTGGCTGCTTGCAAGCTTGTAAGACCCCAATCGCTACTCACCAAAGTATGAAGTAGAACAATGTTTTTGTGTAATATGTTACGCCAATTGACTTGATGTCCCCTGTGACCATGGTCCTGAGCCCACAGGTCCAACTACTTGCTCCCTCGAGGTAGCTGGCTGTGGCCAAGATGTGATCACAGTGTTGGCCCTTCCCAGCTCTATCATGTTGTTGTTGTTGTTGTTAGGTGCCGTCGAATCAGCTCCGACTCATAGCAACCCCATGCGCAGCAGAACAAAACACTGTGCTGTCCCATGCCAGTTCTGTGATCCTTGCTATACTTGATCCCATTGCCACAGCCACTGTGTCAGTCCATCTCATTGAGGGCCTTCCCCTCCTTTGTCGACCCTCCACCTTACCAAGCATGCATCCTTCTCCAGGGAATAGTCCCTTCTGACAATGTGACCAAAGTAGGTGAGACGAACTCTGGCCATTCCTGTTTCCAAGCTGTACTTCCTCCAAGACAGATATGTTAGTCCTTTGAGCAGTCCATGGTACTTTCAGCATTCTTCGCCAACATGACAACTCAAAAGCATCAATTCTTCTTCGGTCTTCCTTATTCATTGTCCAGCTCTCATACACATATGAGGCAATTGAAAATATCATGGCTTGTGTCAGGCACACCTTAGTTCTCAAGGAGACATCTTTGCTCTTCAGCACTTGAAAGAGGCCCCTTGCAGCCGATTTGCCCAGTGCTGTACATAGTCTGATGTCCTGACTACGTCGATTGTAGAACCAAGTAATGTGAAGTCTTTGACGGTTTCAGTCTTTTCTCCATTTATCATGATGCTGCTTATAGGTCCAGTTGTGAGGATTTTTGTTTTCTTTATATTGAGATGTAATCCATAATGCAGACTATAGTCTTCAATCTTCATCCGTAAGTACTTCAAGTCATCCTCACTTTCAGCAAGCAAAGTTGTGTCGTCAGCATATCACAGGTTGTTAGTGAGCCTTCCTCCAATCCTGATGCTGTGTTCTTCCTCATCTAGTCCAGCTTCTTGAACTATTTGCTCAGCATACAGATTGAATAAGTGTGGTGAAAGAATACAACCTTGGCACACTCCCTTCTTGATTTTAAACCATGCAGTGTCCCCTTGTTCTGTTTGAAAGAAAGCCTCCTAGTCTATGTACAGGTTCCTCATGAGTACAATTAAGTGTTCTGGAATTCCCATTCTTCTCAATGTTATCTACAGTTTATTATGATCCACACAATCAAATGCTTTTGCATAGTCAA